AATCAAAAACTGAGGCACAGTGGCTCACATCTGTAGTGCCCGCGCTTTGGCAGGCCAAGGTAGGAGGACCATTTGAGCCCAGGAGTTCCAAGGCTACAGTGACCTGTGATCACAACACTGCACTGAAGCCTGACTTGGACACTAGAGCAAGACCCTGTCTTTAAAATTTTAAAAAGAATATAAATAGTTTTTAAGATACATTCCAGTAGAAAAAATTATATCTACTTTCCAAAAACCATCACAGAACACAGAAAAAATAACAGTTATACAGCAAAAGACACACTTGGTGCAAAGGGAGGAAGTTATTACGCTAAATAAAGATTAAAGTTCCTGGCCAAAGCCTTACCAGACTAACATAAATTTATTAACCTTTCCCTCCCAAGACATCTGGCTACAAAATTAAGAGATTTTTTTTTTTTTTTTGAGACGGAGTGTCGCTCTTGTTACCCAGGCTGGAGTGCAATGGCGCAATCTCGGCTCACCGCAACCTCCGCCTCCTGGGTTCAGGCAATTCTCCTGCCTCAGCCTCCTGAGCAGCTGGGATTACAGGCACACGCCACCATGCCCAGCTGATTTTTTGTATTTTTAGTAGAGACAGGGTTTCACCATGTTGACCAGGATGGTCTCGATCTCTTGACCTCGTGATCCACCCACCTCAGCCTCCCAAAGTGCTGGGATTACAGGCGTGAGCCACCGCGCCCGGCCAAGAGATATTTTTTAAACAGAGAGAAAGCTGGTCTCCTTTACGCTCTGCTTGGTTCCTTTAGTCTTAATTTCATTCAATGCCTAGCTAAGCTAATTATAAAGACAAGATCTCGTTGGCATAACTAAGTAAAACAAACTCTGCTCATTATTATTACCTAGAGTAACATCAAAGATGTTAACTTTAATCGCGTGGGCAAGTTGGTGTCAGGTTTCCCCCGTAAAGTTATTTTCCCCTGTAAAATTCACAATAACTTATGAGAACATACTTTGAGACTATGATAACATCCAGCTACTCTCAAACTTTCACCCACTAGCTTTATTTGTTTATTTATTTATTTGATGGAGTCTCACTCTGTCGCCAGGTTGGGGTGCAGTAGCACAATCTCAACTCACTGCAACCTCCACCTCCCTGGTTCAAGCAATTCTCCTGCCTCGGCCTCCAGAATTGCTGGAATTACAGGCGTCTGTCACCACACCCAGCTAATTTTTGCATTTTTAGTAGACAGGGCTTCACCATGTTGATCAGGATGATCTCCAACTCCTGACCTTGTGATCCACCTGCCTCGGCCTACCAAAGTGCTGGGATTACTGGCGTGAGCCACTAGTTTTAATATCCATTTTTACCCACTAGTTTTAAGATCCATTTATGGTTCTTACTTAAATCAATTGTTATAATTGCCAAAAGGCAATTTACTTATTCCACTTTTTCCTTTATGTTCATTCACTAGTCCGAATTCTACATTAAGAGCTTCTAGATCATTCATTTATCAGAGATCCTTACTTTATGGGAAATAAACAAGTACTGTCTTATTTACTTCAATGATCAAACTGCCCTATAGACAGTTAGTGGGAGTTTCACCAGACTGGCTCCTATGTCTCTTTGACATATCCCATCATTTTACTTTTTTGAGCCCTCCCTTATCTTATGAGACTACAAGAAGCTCCAAGCATATTTTGTATTTTTTTCCTTCCCCTACGCTGGAATCTGTCATTTCTCTAGGTTCCTTCCAGTAGAGAATAGTATTAATGGTAGTTAGAAACCAAGATCTAGGGCTAGGTGATATCATTGCCTAGCCCTAGGTGATATCAGTGATAAAGAGGTATCACTGCTTCTTGGCCATCTTAGCAGACAGAAGTGGAAAAAGGCATACAGATATAGGCATGTGTACCCATAATAAGATCTATTTCTATATCTATATACTTCCAAAACCATGAATTTATACCACTATCTTCAATTCCAATCAAACATCAGAGTTCATTTTAACCTTTACCCTTTTTACGTTTGTAACTCCAACAGTCAAAACTCCAACAGTCCTTCTCCAACAGTCAAAACTGGCTCCCATTTTCCACAACATATTTACTTATTTCCTTATAATACTACAGACAATTGCTTCAAAATTGCAAACCCATGCCTCTATGACAAAAACAAAAACCAAAAATTCTAGTTAACTCTACTAACTAGAGTTCAATGGTTATTTCAATCTTTTTGTCTTCATCCTGAGGACAGAGTTCAAATACTAAGATCAAAAGTTACCTAAATTAGTTGTTTTTCACTTCTTCAGTGTAGTTGTTACTCATTTGAAATAGATTTAGTTCATTTGTTTGTTTGTACTCCACCTTAAGGTGTTTTTTTCAACACTTGATTTTGTTGGTGTGTTTATTGCTTATATACTCAGTATGTGAAACATTAACATGGTTCCAAAAGTCAGAAAGGTATCCTCAGAAGAGTCCCTGCCCCCATTCCCTCTATCCTTTCCACTGCATAACTACCCATTCTCTAGGAAATCAAACAACCTCTAATTAATCTTTCTTGTGTTTTGTTTTTGCCCCGTGAACAAATATAGATGTATTTTCTTATTTCTCCTTCTTTCTTTTTTTTGAGACTGAGTTTCACTCTTGTTACCCAAGCTGGAGTGCAATGGCGCGATCTCGGCTCACCGCAACCTCCGCCTCCTGGGTTCAGAAAATTCTCCTGCCTCAGCCTCCTGAGTAGCTGGGATTACAGGCACGCGCCACCATGCCCAGCTAATTTTTTGTATTTTTAGTAGAGACGGGTTTCACCATGTTGACCAGGATGTTCTCGATCTCTTGACCTCGTGATCCGCCCACCTCGGCCTCCCAAAGTGCTGGGATTACAGGCTTGAGCCACCGCGCCCGGCCTCTCCTTCTTTCTTAAACAAAAGGTAGTATACTACACACAAAGTAGTAAATACTTTAACACTTTACTTTTTTTCACTGATTCTGTAGGTTTGGTTTGTGTGACCCCTCCAAATCTCATACTGAAATCTGATCCCCAAAGTTGGAGGTGGGGCTTAATGGAAAGTGTTTGGGTCATGGGAGTGAATCCCTCATGAATAGATTAATGCCCTCCCTGGGATTGGGGTATAAATGAACTCTTATTTATTAGTTCCACTACAGCTGGTTGTTAAAAAGAGCCTGGTGCCTCCCTACTGGCTTGCTTCCTCTCACCATGTGATCTCTGCACACGCCCCTCCCCTTCCCCTTCTGTCATGAATGGAAGCTTCCTTACACCCTCACCAGAAGTAGATGCTAATACCCTGCTTCTTGTACAGCCTGTAAAACTCTGAACCAACAAAACATCTTTTCTTTATAAATTACCCAGCCTCAGGTATTCCTTTAGGTTGTCCAATCTTTTGATTTTCCTGAGCCACACTGGAAGAACTGTCTTGGGTCACACATAAAATACACTAAAATAACAATAGCTGATGAGCTTAAAAAAACTGCAAAAAAACCTAATAATATTTTAAGAAACTTTTGTCTTGCACATTCAAAGCTGTCCTGGGCCGCATGCCATTCGCAGGCTGCGGGTTGAACAAGCTTGTTAGCTTGTTTGAAAGCAAGACAAACAAACCAAGACATCTGAACAACATATCCAAGAAAGCACTCCATATAGGTTAATCATGCCCTTGCTCACACTTTTTCACAGGTGCATAATGCTCCACTGGATTTTCCTATCGTGTAGGTTGCTTGTAATTTTTGTAATTAAGAAATGCTGCAACCTTGTGCATGTGTATTTTCATACTGTTGGAAGTGTATCTTCAGAGTAAATGCTGAGAATTGGGATTGCTGAGTCAAAAAGGCATGTATGTACTCAAATAAATACAACTTACATCTCTTAATAACACAACATTTCTGTTATTTCTGCTCCCCCCCCAAAAAAAATGCATAACCTGAATCTCATCAGCCAAACCAAATTGAGGGGACTCTACAAGTAACTAATTTGTACTCTTTAGAAATGTCAATGTCATAAAACACAGAGACTAAAGAACTGTTCCAAAAGTAAGACATGGAAATAATGAATTAGATAATCTGAGATTTTCTTCTACTATAAAGGACATCACTGGGACAACTGGCAAATTTCAAACAAATTCTACTCATCAGATACTAGTATAATAACAAATCAATGTTAATTTCTTAGTTTGGTTTATATATTTTATTCATGAAAGCAAATACAGCTGGGTGCGGTGGCTCACGCCTGTAATCCCAACATTCTGGGAGTCCAAGGTGGGTGGATCACATGAGGTCAGGAGGTTGAGACCAGCCTGGCCAACATGGTGAAACCCCATCTCTACTAAAAATACAAAATTACTAGCAGGGCATAGTGGTGGTTCCCTGTAATCCCAGCTAGTGAGAAGGCTGAGGCAGGAGAATCACTTGAACCCAGGAGGCAGAGGCTGCAGTGAGCCGAGATTGTGCCACTGCAGTCCAGCCTGAGCAACAAAAGTGAAACTCTGTCGGAAGGGGAAGGGGAAGAAGGGGAAGGGGAAGGGGGGAAGGGGAAGGAGAAGAGGGGAAGGAGAAG